CTTAAATAAATGGATGGTTTTGAGCGATATTTAATTAACTAACTAGTAAAGCTGTTATTCAATGAATTGGAGTATATTTTAGCATGCATGATATATATGTATACATATACATATTGAATGAAAGACGTACTTTTATGCAAGAACTTTAAATCAGCCATTACAAAGAAGCTAATGAATCTAGGACAAGAACCAATCAAACAAAAATTTGATGAACTAGAGAAAGGAAAAGCAGTTAACATGGATAATATTTTATATGTGATAGCTATATTCCTTTTCATAGTTCTTTTTGAAAGAACCTTTTCATAGTTCTGTTATTTCTGCATGTGTAGAAAAGAAATAAAAAAAAATAACAGCAATTTTTAAAAGGAAATTGCAAAGGGAATAAAAATTAATAACATGTGTATTTAAGACAAAAAGTACAAAAATCTTGGAGGGTAGCCTGCACCATGCATTTTTCTCATAACTGTCCCTATTATCGTCACTATTTCCACTCACATGTTTTTAATAAATGCTATTAAAATACTTTATATTTTTTTCTTCAATAAAGTATAAAAATGGCTAATTCCTATAATTAATTTTAAACGTGTCAATATTTGTTATAATTACTTTCAGAAAACTGCTGTATTGCAATTTCTGTTTCTTAAAAGTGAGCCTAGATCACCATGGTGCAAGTTTTACTTGGTCAGTTTTGTAAATTATCCACTCAATCATGTATCACTTTGCCCAATGAACTCTCTTGTGACTCATGCAAACTTGTGCTGCTGAGGCTCCATCCATATTATCGGAGAATGTGCGTGCGTCTATATATATATATATACACGCTTGTATTAGGGCCTATATATATATAGTGATCTACCAAACACAAAGCCTGGCTAGATCCTTGTGGGGAACAGATACCAATTGCCTTCTCAGGAATTGAAACGAGTTTGACCAGTACAGCTACTAGTGTGTATACACACACACACATATTTATGTACATGTATGTATGTATTGAACTTCAAGAGTCCAATGGATAAATATCATAAATACAAAGATAAACGGATAACAACATGAAAATTATATCATATTATGATCAATATCTATTTATATATACATAGAAATGAGCGCTTACATGACATAATGAGTACGCACGTCGTAGACACAAACGTTATCTTAAAACACAACAAACAGCAAGTAAATTCCTACTAGGTGAAGTAGATGCATAACTCAATTCACCTTTTGCCATATACGAATTCAATTTCAAGCAGAAGGATAAGAAGCTTCCATGGCAATCCCACAGAGACCTTCCTCAGCATCAACATCTCTCTCCATTCTAATATATCCCTCCTCACCCCAACTCGAACCCCACGAGTTCTTCACCAACCAATACTTCGTACCGTCCTCGGTTTTCCCGTAACCAACGGCAGTGACACCATGGTCAAGTTCCGTCCCGCATTCTCCGGTGAAGACTCCGCTCGAGTATAACTGGAAGTCCGACCCGCCGGCATCAATGGCGACGGAGACGGGCTGGTTGGCGACTGCCTTTTGCAGCGCCTTCTCGCTGTTGGCGGGCACGTCTTCGTGGCCGGTGATTGAGGCTGCATGGGAGGATGCTTTCTTTTTGTTGCAGGTTTCGTCGACGCCCTTGTAAGGGTACTTTGATTCCGTTGTGAGGCCTTCGTTTCCGAGGATGAAATCGAAGGCGTCGTCCATGAGACCGCCCTCGCAGCCTTGGTCGGTGCCGCTTGTGTCGCAGTCGACTAGCTCTTGCTCGGAGAGGGAGATCAGCTTTCCCGTAGTCAGCTGTGTGATTCCTTCCATGGCTGCCACTGCAGAGAAGGCCCAGCAACATCCTGTATATATATCACAATAAGATCAGAAGTCAATGCTAAAGTAGTAGAGAATATTATTTACCAGCAATATTCATCCTTATCCTAACACCGAAACCTAGGATTATATTTAGTTAACATGTATTTTTTTTTTTGTTGGCAGAAAGTACCATTAGATTATTGGCTTATAGCAATAGGGGCTTTTACAATTTTAATACCACAATGAATAAAAAAGGACAAAGGAGCACAAGTGATGTTAGAACAACCATTAACATCCTCTAAAAAGTTGTTTGGGACACCGTATGAGCAAAGCACGATAATTAATAAAACGTCAGTATATCTTCTATTAATTGTGTTGTTTTGCGCCATTGTACTATTTTCATACAATACTATGAGACTTATTTGGTCTCACATTTGATTTTCCATGTTGTTGCACACAAACTCCACTAATAATAATATGATGCCAAGTAATGTTACTAGCAATTTGGCATTATTGATGTTAAAATGGACTACTTCATTGTACGACTATAATTAAATAAAGTAATTCATCATCAAATACCATATAATCCTTCCATGGCTGCCACTGCAGAGAAGGCCCAGCAACATCCTGTATATATATCACAATAAGATCAGAAGTCAATGCTAAAGTAGTAGAGAATATTATTTACCAGCAATATTCATCCTTATCCTAACACCGAAACCTAGGATTATATTTAGTTAACATGTATTTTTTTTTTTTTGTTGGCAGAAAGTACCATTAGATTATTGGCTTATAGCAATAGGGACTTCTACATTTATAATACCACAATGAATAAAAAAGGACAAAGGAGCACAAGTGATGTTAGAACAACCATTAACATCCTCTAAAAAGTTGTTTGGGACACCGTATGAGCAAAGCACGATAATTAATAAAACGTCAGTATATCTTCTATTAATTGTGTTGTTTTGCGCCATTGTACTATTTTCATACAATACTATGAGACTTATTTGGTCTCACATTTGATTTTTCATGTTGTTGCACACAAACTCCACTAATAATAATATGATGCCAAGTAATGTTACTAGCAATTTGGCATTATTGATGTTAAAATGGACTACTTCATTGTACGACTATAATTAAATAAAGTAATTCATCATCAAATACCATATAAATATATATATATATATATATCTAAGGCGGTTATATATTCAGATTTTAACACCATTGAAATACTTACTTATCCTTTCATTAGTATTAACAAAAATTAGCGAGCATTTTATCGCTTAAAAAGTTCAAAGTTTAGGGGAAAAGTTTATAATTACCACATTGACCCTGGTCCTTGACGGGGGTGACTGCTCCCTTCTTTCTCCAATCCACGGAGGATGGAACTTTAGTGACACTTTCATATCTAAATGATGGGTTGATCGGCCTAGGAATAGGGGACCTTTTGTATCCATTGCGAGAAGCCCGGAATTCTTCATTCGTTTGGTCTGCAAATTCATTGATGCCCAACTTGTAAGGCTTATTCCCAGCTTTGTTAACGGACTCTATGTACTCGACATTGCTCTTGAATATCTGAAAGCGTTTTTCCTTCTCTGAATCATCCTTGTATGTGCGGCCGTAGCGAGCCATCCACTGCTCGTGTCTTTCGGACATGGAATTAGCGTCTTCATGCAGTGCGCGGCCATTAGCTAGGGCTGCCCACATGCCAAGGACTAAAAGTGACACAAAGATTGATGTCTTTTGAAGTGTCAAAGCCATTGCTTGTTGGTTAAGTAACAATTGTGCTTATAAAAACTTGGATGAGAAAGGCACATTTTGATCCTAGAGAAATTGAGATTATATATAGAGAGAACAAGCCTGAGACAGTGATATGAACCAAGTGATGACAAGGTTCGCTTCCCTGGTTTGTCCGGCAAATTGGAATGAATGGACAACTAAGTTCCGATTGCGTACGTTTTCTTCATAGACTAACCAATACTTTTCATGTAATTGATTAATATTTTTATTTTATAAAACTATATGGTTTTGCTTCACGGTTTGGTTATAGTAACAAGAGGGTTTAGTCCAATCTTCAAAAAGCCATCATGTTACTAAACCATAAAAAAAAATCTCCAAAAGGAAAAAAAGGGTTTAATTTATTATAAAAAAAACTTCAAAAAGGAAAAAAAAAAAAAAGTTTAATCGGCAGTTTGGAGCCCTACTTTTGAGCGCATTGGAAGATTTATTATAATGGCAAATTGCCAAGTTATATTTTCTGTTTTATTTTAATGAGTCTCTTATAGGACAAGAAAACATGAACAACTAGTCATTTTTTATTTTTCAACCGCCAAGTTATATTTTCTGTTTTATTTTAAGGAGTCTCTTATAGGACAAGAAAACATGAACAACTAGTAATTTTTTATTTTTCAACCATAAAATTTGTATTAAAAACTATTTATTCTGTATATTTTTTTAAGTTAATATGATTTTAATCATATCTAACAATAAAAAATTAACACTACCGATATAGAGACGTTCGAGGGAAAGTTCTTTTATTTTAATGCAATATTCCAAATCCCAAACGTTATTAATTTTAAGGTAATGCCTTGCATGGTCTACTTGTCTGCTCGTCCCGTCATCCAGACTGGTTCTTTGTCATTAACATGATTTCTTTCTTCACCAATTTACTTCGTTGGAACTCTTCTGATTTTTTAAATTTCTTCCTTTCGAGCATACAAGTGTTGCAAGCAGCAGTAGAACAAAAATCCGTGGATTTTTTTTTCTTTCTTTCTTTTTTCTTTTTGCTGAAAAAAAATAAAAACAATAAATGTTACGCTACAAAACTCTTTGGAAGCAAAAAATAAAATAAAATAAGATAAAATGCCACGTTCTGAAGTATTTTTTGCATATACAAGACATGTACATGTAGGTACATGGGCTTAATTACTCATCTTCTCTGGACCCCGAACGGATGCCTAAGTTTATGCGGCATTGGAAAGCACCTTCGGAAATGCCATCACCATTTCCCAAACATGTGGGGCGAATATAATTTCTCCAATTCAATTGAATGAAGATTTCCATTTGCGTAACAGAATTTCCACTTACATAAGAGATTGAAGATTTTTACATTTCAAACAGAGGACCAAAAAAATGTGACACCGGCTATTGCATAGGAAAATACGTATTCGAAAGATGGATAGGCTAAAACTTGTAACTCAGGAATAACAAACCTGACGAGCACAAATGATCAATAGCCACTTGACCATTGGCATTTACTGATGTTTGTTCTTCAACATCATTCGTAGGCATTTAAGCCACTGTATCAGTTTTGCTCATATATCTGCCTATCACTTCTGCGAGTGCGTCTATTAATGACTTCGGATCAAATATAACACCAACTTTCGGATCGTGTATAGAATTGACAAGGATCTGCAAAGTCATGTTGGTTAGAATCCCTGTTCATCAGAAATAAAAACATTTGTACCAAAAAGGAATGCAAGAATTCAACCTCTCTGTTATAATTTTAAACTATAAAAAGCTACCAATGCAAAATGCACAAATAAGTGCCTCAAATTGGTTTTGGAAAAGTAACAATTTTGTGTTTTTTGGTAAGTTAATATTTTCAGTTTTTGAGCAATGGTTACTTTATGGTTTATTAAGAGTCTATAAATAAGTGTTTTGTATAGGGGTTTGTGTGGAGAGAAAAAGTGGAGAAAAAGCGAGTGCCTCCATTTGAGAGAAAGCTAGAAGTTTGAGAAGAGAGATAAACAAAGGGTGTAAGGGTTTTGGGTAGAGAGAGAGATTGCCTCTCTGTTATAATTTCAAACTATAAAAAGCTACCAATGCAAAATGCACAGCATTTTTCAAACAATATATATAATATTAGAAAGAATTTGTGCCATCGAGGAACACAAGAACTCAAAGTCGATACTCGCTTATGATTATAAACTATGACATACCAATGGAAAAATAGCAATTTTCAAACATTAAAAACAACAAAACAAAACAAAAGGAACCCTGCCCAGCAAATTTCCACATTCTAGTTGGTGAAATCTCAACTTATAGCAGGCCATCACGGTGAAGTTAATTAGCAGTAAAGAACTGAGATTGTAATCAAATGCTTCATTCAGGAGCTTAGATGTCAAGTATGTTTAAAGTTACAAAAAACCAAAATTAAGTTCAAATGCAACTTAAATATTTAACCCAAGAAATTTCAGCCTTAACTTGCGTATAATCAAATAATGAGGAGAGATATAGCGTGATTTACTAGAAGTAACCACATCTACATTGTTAATCACTTAAAACATCACAATGACATGCATACCACATCCAAGATTCCTTGAGCAGCCAAGTTTTCAACGTCTACAGGAATTTCTCCATCTCTGGGTACTAAAATGGTATTGATGTATTGACTGGGCTGCAAGAAAATATGGACTAGAATGAATAGCATGTTTCTTTCATTTGTTGGCTAAACCAAGCAGTAATTCTATACTGATGAGTCTGCTGTCCTATATCACCTGATAACAGTATTTAAAACTGTAACTAAATCTTCTTACTTACAAGGTTTTCCAGGCAATTATGATGATCTCCATACGTTCGATTAAGTGCATCTGTAATAGCAGTTACAAAGCAAGAAGCTGAGAAGCCACTTGTTTCTCGATCATCGGTGCCATTCAACAAAAATACCTGACATGGGAACAGGCTGCCATAAATGAAGTCTTCAAATAACATCAGAAATAACTAACTGTAAAAAAGATGAAAAGAGGCTGATCTGGAGAATGTGAAAATGCTGAACAGGAAAATAACAAGGCAAATACGTGTTCTAATTATTACCAAATATTCCCTTGTAGCATGTGATATATAGTTTGAGAGTTCGTCAAGAAGGTACCTTGGGACAGAACCTTGAAGATATGACCTCCCCAATGCCGATTAATACCTGTAATGGGGAAGAATATGAGACTACAAGAATTGGGATTCGGATAAAATCATCTTAACATCTTGAACCAATATTTACGACTCATGACTGCTAGAAACAAAAAGAAAATGCCTTGGTAAATTATTAGTATCTGGCATAAATTAAAATTGAAAGTACATTACGCATAATAAACAAAGAAAAATTGTGCTTGCAAAGGTCAATTATGTATTACCAGGGATGGACAGATGGATGTAAAGAGAGATCCCATAGCATAAACAATGCAGTCCACGTTACTCAACTGCTCGAGGACAGCTGGGTTTGCTGCGGGGAAGACCTGGTCATTAAAATAGCCGAGCATGATAAATTCTTGATGTTTCACACTCCAAGAGAGGAAAAAGAGGCATATTATAAAAATAATAAATAATAAATAATAAAAAACTAACTAGTGCATTTTCTGTTGCTAGTTTCTTAATATTTTGTGAAAAATATCGATTTTTACAGTATTTCTTTTTATTTCAGTACAACACATTAAAGAGCAAGCTCAGATGCTTCTTTACCTCGTGCAGTAAATTTTTTCCCTCACTTGACATGTAGAACACCCTCTTTATTCTTGAAGGAAGCCCTGGAACTAATGACCTTGCCTGTTCACAAGAAGATAGCACTTGAGTAAATGAGAAATCGAGCAATGTGACTCTGCCACAATCAGATCGTTCAAACACTCAAAAATCTAAAGGCTGCTCGCTATCCCAGATTATAATGCCCACATAAGAGTGTAACTTCAAAAAATATTCGTAAGCTGGATGTCCAACGTATTCTCTAAATCTACTGTTAGATTGAAATGCAGACTAATATCACCCAGATGTTTGACGTAATAATTGAACCAACAATTAAAAAACTGGATTACGAACAATTGACCGTCTTAAATTCAAAGGTACAATAACTATTTTCCTCTTTATAATGCCCACATAAGAGCGTAACTTCAAAAAATATTGGTAAGCTGGATGTCCAATGGTATTCTCTAAATCTATTGTTAGATTGAAATGCAGACTAATATCACCCAGATGTAAGTAATAATTGAACCAACAATTAAAAAACTGGATTACGAACAATTGACGGTCTTAAATTCAAAGGTACAATAACTATTTCTCTTTCGAAGCACCACAGCCACCATAATCAACCACTAGTTTTGGTGAGGGACAATTATTGTATTTTATTGATATCTATGCAGAGATTTTGGTAGTCAAGTTACTGAACCAGTAAAATTATGGTTTTATAGAATAGGGGTGTCTATTGAGCCTGTCAACACAGCAATAATACCTTGTTGATGGGTTCCATAGATCCAGTAGTTGGATGAGAAATTTCATTCTGACCTCGTATTATGGTCCCATCCTGGAAGAACAAAAAAGATGGGAAATAATTCAGACTTTACGACATAGTGACCACTTTACTAGGATGACTAAGGCAGGCCAAGTAATAAAGCCTAAAAGGAAGAAGAATGATAAAGCTTTTCTCAGCAGAAGTGAATTATTGATAATAAAAATAAATAAATAAATAAATCTGTAGTCAACCAAATGACCATATGCCAATGGAAATGATAACGCCTAAAAGGCATCTAAAGGACAAAAGAAACATTATACTTTGTCATATAAGGGCAGAAAAACATTCAGATAAGATCTTAACGTACCATATTCCTTACATCACTCATGTAACATGCATTAGTCCATTTTTACATGTTATCAACAAAATATAGGCTTCAATAATAAATTTTAAACATCTTGCAGAATCATAAGAAATATACATCAATAATTGTACCATTAATTCACATCCTAATGTGAGCCTGTCATTGGTTGAAATCACAGGGAGAACCAAACTTTCAGAAGGAATATCTGAAACACGCGAATACAAAAATATTGCGGCATCTAAAGACTGAAAAAATATGCGTGCTCCTGCAAAAAAGAAATTCCCAATGCTGCAAAATTCATATGGAGTCAGCTGAATTTAGTGATTGTGGAGTCTAGGTTATGTAACTCCATATGTCTCCATATATAATTGTTGAGAGAGAGAGAGAAGGTTTATGCAAGACTCACTCACACACACAGATAAGGAAACACAAGTACACCAAAAACCTATAATAAAAGAGTTACCTGCCATGGCTAAAGCAAAATGAGTCATCAGCACGTCGGAGAATCTGTATTAGAAAAGCGCAATTGGTGAAGTTCAAATAGAATGATTAAAGGTTGCAAGACATGAAAATTTGAAAAATATGTACAAGTGGTAATGAAGAAAAGCAAAAACTACAAACAGTATTAGGCAAAAAATTATCATTCTGATCAACAGTTTCATCCTTCAAATCCACCACTTTCTTTCAATTCGTTAAAAGTATCTTGGGTAAGTTTCTCAAGTTGAAAAACAACATAAGAAATACATAGATCAAAAGAGTCAGGCGCAATATTCTTCCATATGTTTAGGGAAAGAAACGGGAAATGTATAAGAAAATGCACAAAGCTCTTCAAAAGAAAGCCATAATGAAAATGTAAAGAAAAATACCCAAACAATAACTAAATGAACCAAAGGTAGTTAGACCACCATGTTGGAATATTTTTGTGTGGACTTCCATAATCATAATAATTCACTTTGTAATTAATTAAAGCATTTTATAGACAACTGTGTTAATGTGAATTAACACATGCATGTTGTAACACCCTGAAGAATTAATTGAGATTAATTAAGATAATTGAGATTATTAGTGTGCCTAATCTGATTTAATTAATTGAGTTTAAATAATTCCAAGGTATTTAAATTATTCACAGTAATATATTAATCCAGAAGTGTGTATGGGCGCATTTCTGGACTGTTATATTTTACACATGTCACTTTCTTTTATTTTTCTTTTCTTTTCTTTTCTTTTTCTTTTTCCTTTCTTTTCCTTCCTTTTCTTTTTCTTTCCCGTGCGTTTCTCTCTCTCTCTCTCTCTCTCTCTCACACACTTCCGTGCTCTCTCTCTCCCTCTCTCTCTCCCATTTGTGTCTCAAATCAAAACCGGATTCGAACCAAGAGTGATTTCAAAGAGTTTTCAACATCAAGAGAAGGATTCGAGGTAAGATTACTGAAAGAACCTCTCTTGAATCTATGTTTTTCGGATTTCAAAACTTATTTTTGATTCAAAACGGATTTTGATGGATTTTGAGTAAAACTAGGGTAGAAATTGGAGATCTTGAGTTCTTTGGACTTGTTTTAGTACCTAGAACCCGGATCTAGTGGTTGTCCCTTGAGATTTTCTGAATTGGGACTGGATTTGCAGGTTTTTGAACTGATTTCCGTGAGTTTT